TAGATTAAAAAGATTGAAGGAGCTGGGCAGAAAATTGGCAGCCAAACAGCACCTGCATCCAAACAAAATGCAGGCACTGTTAAGTTATTTTTACATCTGACGGCTGTCAAAAAATACAGCTGCAGCAGGGGATTCATCCATCCATGCTGTGTGACACGAACAGAGGAAAAAGTGAGATTTTGTTGTTCAGCCTGCAAGCTGAAAATAAAAGACCTATCCTATGTGGTGTCCTATGTGGTACACACAACTTTCACAGAGCCAGTTTTATCTGGATGAGAGTTACTGCGGAACCTGCCTCCTGTGCACACTAAGGTGTCCGTTTATGACACAGAGAATAGCTGCGATTCAGAGGATCACAGTTATTCTCTGGTCATTCACAGTTTATGACACTCAGGAGATCAGCGGAGAACATGTTCAGCCCTTCACTGGAGATCTGTGTTCTCCCTCCAGATTCTCCAGCCCAGAGCTGGAGAATCGGAGTGACCGCAAACTAAGCAGCGATAATTTACCTCTGATTAGTAAACTGATCTTTTGCTGTAATCTTGCGAGATTATAGTAAAAGCAGCCGTTTTCCTGCGTTTGTAGACCGTTCTCCAGCGTTTGTAGACAGTTCTCCTTTCATTCGGAGAACTGATTTACACCACTTTATAAACTGCATTCACAAGAGAACTGTGTTCTCCGAGAATGCCGGAGAACTGAGCAGCGATCATTTACCACTGGTTCATAAATGGACACCTATATCAGATACTGCGGCTAACAAGCTGCTATAGGGTCCCTCACACAGGCGTTCTGTGGTATTCATCAGTTAAGTCATGTTTTTCCAAAAAAGGGTCCTTTCCCACAGAGCAGACCCGTTTAGTGGATCTGCTTGCTAGGCGGGGGATCTCTCCGCAGATCAGTTCACAGTTTTTCATCAGTATGCATCAGTTCACATCCGTTATTCATCAGTTTATGTCAGTTATTCATCAGTTCACCTCAGTTTTCATCAGTTTATTATGTCAGTTTCAGTTTTTCATCAGTTTACCTCAGTTTTTCATCAGTTTATGTCAATTTTCATCAGTTTATGTCAGTTTTTCATCAGCTCACATCAGTTTTTCATCAGCTCACATCAGTTTTCATCAGCACACATCAGTTATTCATCAGTTTATGTCAGTTTTTCATCAATTCACATCAGTTTTTTATCAGTTTATGTCAGTTTTTCATCAATTCACATCAGTTTTTCATCAGTTTACGTCAGTTTTCATCAGTTTTTCATCGGTTTATGTCAGTTTTTCATGAGTTCACATCAGTTCAAATCAGTTTTTCATCGGTTTACTCAGTTTTTCATCAGCTCACATCAGTTTTCATCAGTTTATGTCAGTTTTTCATCAATTCACATCAGTTTTTCATCAGTTTATGTCAGTTTTTCATCAATTCATCTCAGTTTTTCATCAGTTTATGTCAGTTTTTCATCAATTCACTTAAGTTTTTCATCAGTTTTGTCAGTTTTCATCAGTTTCATCGGTTTATGTCAGTTTTTCACCAGTTCACATCAGTTTTTCATCAGTTCAAATCAGTGTTTCATTGGTTTACTCAGTTTTTCATCAGCTCACATCAGTTTTTCATCAGCTCACATCAGTTTTTCATCAGTTTATGTCAGTTTTCATCAGTTTTTCATCGGTTTATGTCAGTTTTTCACCAGTTCACATCAGTTTTTTTCATCAGTTCACTCAGTTTTTCATCGTTTACAGTTTTTCGTCAGTTTTTCAGTTTTTCATCGGTTTATGTCAGTTTTTCACCAGTTCACATCAGTTTTTCATCGGTTTACTCAGTTTTTCATCAGCTCACATCAGTTTTTCATCAATTTACGTCAGTTTTCATCAGTTTTTTCATCGATTTATGTCAGTTTTTCACCAGTTCACATCAGTTTTTCATTGGTTTACTCAGTTTTTCATAGCTCACATCAGTTTTTCATCAGTTTATGTCAGTTTTTCATCAATTCACATCAGTTTTTCATCAGTTTATGTCAGTTTTTTATCAATTCACATCAGTTTTTCTTCAGTTTACGTCAGTTTTCATCAGTTTTTCATCGGTTTATGTCAGTTTTTTCACCAGTTCACATCAGTTTTTCATCAGTTCAAATCATTTTTCATCAGTTTACTCAGTTTTTCATCAGCTCACATCAGTTTTTCATCACTTTACATTAGTTTTTCATCAGTTCACATCAGTTTTTCATCAGTTTACGTCAGTTTTGCATCAGCTCACATCAATTTTTCATCAGTTTAAGTCAGTTTTTCGTCAGCTCAGGTCAGTTTTTCGTCAGCTCACGTCAGTTTTTCGTCAGCTCACGTCAGTTTTTTTTCGTCAGCTCACGTCAGTTTTTCGTCAGCTCACGTCAGTTTTTCGTCAGCTCACGTCAGTTTTTCAATGGTTTACTCAGTTTTTCATCAGTTCACATCAGTTTTTCATGGGTTTACTCAGTTTTTCATCAGCTCACATACGTTTTTCATCAGTTTACATCAGATTACATCCATTTTCCATCAGTTTACATCCTTTTTTGTCCATTTACATTGGTTTTTTCGTCAGTTTACATCCATTTTTCATCTGTTTAAATTAGATTACATTGGTTTTTGTCCATTTACAGCCATTTTCATCTGTTTACATCCATTTTTGTTCCTTTACATTCTTTTACATTTGTTTATCCTCCGTTTACATCCGGGTTTCATCCGTTTTGTTTTTTTAACCGAAGAAAACAATTGTTCAAAAAAATGGATGTTAACAGATACGGACATTAATGGATGTAAACAGATGATCATCCGTTTACATCCGCTAGTCAATAGAAATACGTTGGTGTCCGTTTTTCATCCATAAACAGATAGACAAAAAAAACGGACATATGGAACGCGCATGTGAAAGAGATCATAGGTTGTTGCATTGCTCTATATGTAAAAAAAATCAGTTTTTCTTATTGAATTAGATAGCAATGTATGCTGTATTATACACTTATACAAAGGCAGTAAAGAGTATAGAAGGGGAGCTCAGACTAGTATCCTATGCTGTGCAGTATAATCTAGACTGCAAGCATGTAATACAGAGCATTCGATTTACTTGCATGTACTGTTCACATTTGAACAAAACTGTGCAGACTGCAGTTCTGCTTTAAATGTACCAATTGTCTGTTATGTTTTCTGCTTGTTGTATTTGGTACATGCACACATTTTCTGTTGTGTTTTTTTTCAAGTCTGTGATGTTTATGTAAACAGGAAGGTTCGGGGTACTCAAAACATGTCCCTCCTGTCGTCTGCAAATTTCACATATATTTGTATATGAATGCAATCGAGAAATTACAGCAGTATTAAACCGAAAACCAAAAATATAATATATTGCATCTTACCAATCATTGGATGTGGTGGCTGCATTCGTTTTTCTATTTAGGCTTTTCCCCTCTGTTTTCATCTTGTGATCTGGCCAGTAACACACCTCCTGTATTAGAGGGCCCCACTCTGAATGAAGGAGCAACGGAGACACCTTTGGACAGCACCATTGTCAGTCTGGGGGGAGGGAGGTGTTAGATGCACTAGCAGATTTAACCACCCACTGACTGCTCACAATAAATATAGTGTGAGTGGGTGGCAGGTACAGGCACGATAACATGCATGTATGTGAGTTTGGCAGTTGAATGCAGCCAATGATTTCGGATGAAATCAGTTGAGTGGCTATGTCCAATCACACACAAATCTCTGTGTACTGTGAACAGTGATCTGGCTGATTCTTCTACCTGCAAAGCAGATAGCAAAAAAAAAGCAGCACATATTACACACATAGGCCTGGTTCACACCAATTAATTGTGTGCTTTGTCCATTTTGCAGTGCGTTTTGCAGTTCGTTTTATGTTTTTGCTGGGTTTTTATGGCTTTTTTGCATTTTTTCAGCACTTGTTGAAGGGGTAATATTTTTGTTGCTGGGTAGAATAAAAATTCAAAACTCGAAAAGTGGCAAAAACATGGCAAAACAACTTTTCCATTGAACTCTATTGTAGCAAAAACACTGCTTTTTGCACTTAAAAAAGTTCCTGACCCTGTTCCTGACCTTTTCCAAAAATGCAACAGCTCAAAGAAGCTCAAAAAAGCATAGATATGAGTGTGTCCCATAGGAAACCATGTTGAATGGACCATAGTGCGATTCTGCAAAAAGTACTAAGAAACACCTCTGTGTGAACCAGGCCTTACACATTGTTAGGCACACTGTTAATCCTTGATTGCTCCTAGATGTTAACCGCTTCAGTGCCAGTGTCATTAGTACAGTGATATTGTACAGAACTAGCACTGATCACTGTATTAGTGTCACAATTGATATCAGTGTCAGTTAGTCAGTTAGTGTATCTCCTAGTCAGCGTCAGATTTCCGACCACTATCACAGTCCTATCACAGTCCCACTATAAGTCGCTGATCACTGATCACCACATTTACTAGTATAGTGTCAAAGCAACGTAAATTCCAGTATATATACCATAGTTTTAGACACTATAAATTACACACACACAAACCAATTAATCACTTGCCCTCCAGAGGATTTACCCCCCTTCCTGACCAGGCCATTTTTTGCTTTACGGCGATGTGTTAATTTAACTGAAAATTGCGTGGTCATGCAATGCTGTACCCAAATGAAATGTACATCCTATTTTCCACATAAATAGAGCTTTCTTTTGGTGGTATTTGATTGCCTGTGCAGATTTTATTTTTTGCGCTAAAAAAAAAAGACCGTCAACTTTGAGAAAAAAAACTATATTTTTGACTTTTTGCTATTAAACATGTCCAATAAAAAAAAATTTAAAAATCTAATTTCATCATAAATCTAGGCCAAAATGTATTCTGCTACATGTCTTTGCAAAACAAAATCCCAATACCTGTACATTAATTGGTTTATGTGAAAGTTATAGTGTCTACAAATGGCAGTATATATATAGGTATTTTTTTGTTTTTTCAGCGACTTATAGCGGGACTGCAGTGGGCATTCTGACACTGGGGGGAACTGACTTGGTGTCACTGACATCCCCAGTGACACCAATACAGTTATCAGTGCTAATAAAAAGCACTGACACTGTACTAATGGCACTGGGCAGGAAGGGTTTAACATGTGGGCCAATCAAAGGGTTAACTGTGTACTGTTTTACTGTGTGCTATGTTAGTGCTTTCAACTGTAAGCACGCTGCTTTGTATGGCTCTGCTATGCAGAGCCATACAAACCAGTGTACAGGAGCTAACAGGGGAGAGAACTGTATTGTTTACAGCTCTGTATATACAAAGGAGCATGGGGGGAGCTCTTGTCCATAATGGGCATGGTATTGACACAGCTCCAGATGATCCACATTGGCTCACAATTGATATGATCCAAAAATATTTAGACAGAATAAAGGTGAATAAAGCACCTGGACTGGATGGCATACACCAACGGATCCTTAAAGAATTGAGCTTTGTCATTTCAAAGCCATTGTTTCTAATTTTCAGGGATTATTTAATGACTGGCATAGTACCACTGGATTGGCGTAAAGCCAATGCGGTGCCAATATTTAAAAAGGGGTCAAAATCTTTACCAAGTAATTACAGACCTGTTAGTTTAACTTCTATAGTTGGGAAGATACTGGAGAGTTTAATAAAAGACCACATAGATGAGTTCTTGCTGGGAAAAAATATTTTAAGCAACAGACAGCATGGATTTCTGAAAGACAGAAGTTGTTAAACAAATATGATTTCTTTTTATGAGGAGGTGAGCAAAACCTTGGACAGAGGGGTGGCTGTGGACGTGGTATACTTGGATTTTGCAAAAGCGTTTGACACAGTTCCCCACACATGGCTAATTTGTAAGGTAAAGTCTACAGGCTTGTAATGTATAGAAAACTGGCTAAAAGTTTGTATTCAGAGAGTAGTGGTTAATGATTCATACTCTACATGGTCTAGGGTTGTCAGTGGTGTACCCCAAGGTTCAGTGTTGGGACCCTTACTTTTTAATATATTTATAAACGATATAGGGTCTGGGAGTAAAAATCCCATTTCAGTCTTTGCAGATGACACCAAGCCGTGCAGTAAAATAACGTCTTTACAGGATGTCTCCAATTTACAAGCCGAACTCACTGCACTGTTTAAATGGGCAACTATGTGGCAAATGAGGTTTAATGTTGATAATTGTAAGGTTATGCACTTGGGGATCAGCTGTGGGTGTAGGACTATAACTTTATTTTTTCAATGGTTGAACTGGATGGACTTTTGTCTTTTTTCAGCCAGACTAACTATGTAACAGTTTTCTCCCTCCATCAGTAATGCTCGCCGATCACTGTGTGCCAACGAGTAATCACTGGCTGGGACCCAGTGACTGACAACGAATAGTGCACGCCCCCTACCCGGAAATGCAAAATCACGTATATATATGTGATTTTGCGCACCCCTGCTGCCCTGCAGCAGTATATATAGGGCGGCGGGAAAGTGGTTAATATACACGTATTAGGATTTTAGTTTATAACAAAGACATGTAGCAGAATACATTTTGGCCTAAATGTATGAAGAAATTAGATTTTTTTTTTCATTGAATATGTTTTATAACACAAAGTAGAAAATCTTGTTTTTGATCCAAAATTTCTGGTCTTTTTTCATTTATATAATAAAAAATAAAAAAAAACCCAGTGGTGATTAAATACCACCAAAAGAAAGCTCTATTTGTGTGAAACAAATAATATAAATTTCATTTGCATACAGTGTTGCATGACCGCACAATTGCCAGTTAAAGTAGGTCAGTGCTGAATAGCAAAAATGCCCGGGTCATGAAGGGCTTAAAACCTACCGGAAGTCAAGTGGTTAAATACACTAAACAAATTAATGCCAAACTTCAGCTAATACTGTATAATCAGCTACAGCAGCAGCAACAGCTTTTTTTTCCTTTTGGAATAAAGGTTTTATATAAATAAATAAAAGCCGATCATTGTAACCACCACTGTCAGTAGTAAATGTTTATTCTCAATCCTCCCAATTCTACATATGTAGGACAGCTTGTTTTGCTGAAAAACAACAGACTTACTGGCAGTATCACTAGGTGAAAATAAAAAAAAGAAACCCTAAAAAAGAAAACGAATGCAGCCATCACATCTAAGAATTGGTAAGCAAAACTACGATATAATAAATGTTTTCTTTTGGGTTTAATGTCACTTTAAAAAATTACTTTCTATGCTGCTAGGTACAACCGAGCACTGAGGGTTCTTGTGTTGTGTGTGCCTTTATAGTCTGCCCCTGCAGAGTGTGAAATTAAAATGTAGCCTAACATAAAAATGGGTGATATTTATAAAACTAGGACAGTCTGAACACAGAAAATCTCAGTGCTATGGTCCTGGATTTTTCTTTTCCTGAATTGCAGCCATTTTAAAAAAAATATGCAATATTTGTAATGTATAGTTGTTAACATGTGACCATTTTGTGGGGTTAATCATAATCAAAATTCTGTTTGCACACAGTTCATTAACGATCTGGGTATTAGCTTGGCCTAGCTGTGTAAATGCCTTCTGGTTTTAATCCAAAATTCGAGGGAGCTGTCTGGAATCACTATTAAAGATTTTCAGACTCATAACCTTTATTATCCTGTACATGTAAAATATTCAATGCATTTTGCACACCACATTAACTTAGTGGTGCAGTGATGCATGATCCAAATACTGAGCTGAACAAAGTGTATTATGACTTTAATGAACAATACATAGCCTGCTTTCATGGAAGCAAATTGTTGTCTGCTGCATTAAATATTAAGTTTATCTTGCTTTTTACAGCTCCTCAATGTGCAGTTATCTCAGATCTTAACTACAAAAGCATTTTCATGCATTTACTGTAGCTTGCAAAATAAGTCAAGCGTCGAAGCCTTGAAAAGAGTAAGACAAAAACATCTTAACTGTAGTAAATGGCTTCTGCTAATTACTTTACATATGTAAGGCAGACAAATTATGTTTAATTTTTAAAAAATAAATAATTAGCGTATGGTTTGCTGAAATAAAGTTGTTGACCTTTTGCTATTTTCCAAATGAATGGTTTGCCCTAATTTTGCTAAGCAGATGGTCAAAGATGTAGATGGAACAGAATATTGGCTGGCAGGCAGACAGCTCCATTCAGGGAATATAGAACACCATGCATTTACTTGCTTATATATCAGTAAGGATGCAAAACAACTGTTTGAGAGAAATGTTATGGTGCCTTGATGGGAAGAAAACATTTTACTTAGATGATATAACTGTTATTTGTAGCATCGATGGACTATTACAGCACGGCTAATTTTCTTTATCACATCATCCAAATGTCTTAGACTGCTGGGTGCATAAGTGCAAATTGGAATTTTTGATTCCTGTGTGGGGTAGTTTTTTCTCTTCAGTACTTCATAGCTGAGCATGCCAATACAATATAGTGAAAAAAACAGACATTAAAAAAAAAAAATAAAATTTTATATATATATATATATATATATATACACACATACACACAGTATCTCACAGAAGTGAGTACACCCCTCACGTTTTTGTAAATATTTTATTCTATCTTTTCATGTGACAACACTGAAGAAATGACAGTTTGCTACAATGTAAAGTAGTGAGTGTACAGCTTGTATAACAGTGTAAATTTGCTGTCCCCTCAAAATAACCCAACACACAGCCATTAATGTCTAAACCGCTGGCAACAAACGTGAGTACACCCCTAAGTGAAATGACAACAAATTTACACTGTTATACAAGCTTTACACTCACAACTTTACATTGTAGCAAAGTGTTATTTCTTTAGTGTGTATAATAAAATATTTACAAAAATGTGAGGGGTGTACTCACTTCTGGAAGATACTGTATATATATATATATATATATATATATATATATATATATATATTAGTGGAGGGCTTTGAATAGTGGATTTGTGGAAAACTTTTTCTCACTTTGCAAGCACAAAATAGGTAAAATTGTTATTTGTTCAGTTGGTGGTGAACTCGGAGGACTCTGCTGGCTGCTCACTTAACGGTGGTGGCAAGCCTGAAAAGGCGGAGGTGCAGAATCTAAGATACCGCATGGTCTTCACCAAAGCTTCTAGTGGTGGAAATATTGATCTGCAAGCGATAAACAGGATGCAGTCTTCCCACTTACTCAAGCAGACCACAATCGAGAGCAGGTGAGACTCTCTTGCAGTGCTAGGGCACTAGACTTACAAGGCAGCAGAGTACACAGGGGAATAGCCAGAGATAAACTGAGAGACAAGCAAGCAACACACAGGCTGGGAGTACATAGGTGCAGATAATGAGGCTGCCTGGAACCTACAGGGGAAACAGAGTGGTGCAGAGAAGCAAATAGCAAACTGAACAAACAGAAACACGGAGGTGAAAAAAGACAGAATTCAGTTGGAGAACATGGAGTGATCACAGCAGGATGCAGACAGAGGGACACAAGGCTGGGAGCATGCTGGGACACACTGGAAGCAAAGCTGGAAATAAGCTGGGATACAATGGAAGAAATGCTGGAAACAAGCTAGGACACTCTGGGAGTGAGACTGGAAGCAAGCTGGGACACATTGGGAGCAAGGATAGATAGAAACTAGGACACAATGGGAGCTAGGCTGGACGCAAGCTGGGATACAATGGGAGCAAGGCTGGAACACACTGTATCAGGGCTCTGTCCACAGCAGAGGTAATCGGACACCTGGCATTCCTGCCAATACCTTGTATGGCCACAGAAATGCACACTAGCAAACATTTATGTGCATTGGTGCACGGATGCACGATTATGCACGCATTAGCCCAGCTTGGTGCCAGACATCTTTTATAAGGAAGCCCATCACTCTCTCAAATTGCTGGTTGATCTCTGGCTCCCCAGTACCTTTGCCCCATGTTCCTCTACTATTGTGATCTCCTGTTACTGACTCGGCTTGTTCCTGGACCTGTATTCTCTGCTACTCTGAAGGCCTGCTGTCTCTCACGGGCACCACCTGTCTGCAGACACTATTCCAGTGAATCAGCTGTGCTCCTGAGTGTACCTCTGACAAGCATCCTCAGTCAGATCATCTCTACAAGCACTGCTGTAGGCAACCAGTGCTACTCTGAGCCTGACTTCTTCTGTCCCATCTCCAGGAGAGTC